GCTATACATCTTCAAGGTCAAACGCTGTACAAGATTCTGAAGTGTTAGTCATTTATGCAAACAAGAATGGCTAGATGAGCTAAAATACAACTATTTTTCTGAAGAGTTTTACATTCCTATGTTCCAAAAATATCTTTATTTCCTCTTCTCTTCTGTGGGTTTTGTTTGCAGCTGTGGGAAAGTGCACTCAAAGTTGTCTTTGTGTTTTTTTCTGAAAGCAGGCAGAAGCGTGCTCGGTCTCATGTCCTATAGTAAAGAGTTCAAAACTGTGTAACAGAGGGCCTTATTTCCTATTCTTCTTTAGTTTCTCAAGATTGCGGCTGCTGAGGAAAGCTCGCATTGCAAAGAGAATAATGCTGCTGAGATACCTTGGACCATTTCTGTGGAGTGGAGCATCATGTGAGCTAATAAATTGGTCTTACAGTTTGTCTGAAATCAGTGAAATGAGTGGTGTCTTAAGTGACTATGTTCTTGGTGACTGCTGAAGAGGTGCAGTTGTGTTTTGGTGTAGCCGGAGTGTAGTTCACGCTGAAATGTTTAACGTAGTCCAATGGAAAGATTCAGAGAAGGAGCTGGTAAGGTCAGGGTGATACATAAGGGATTAGACATATCTTTTGCATTCTTTTTGGATGTCACTACAATGAATTTCTGCTTCACGAGGCTAAATCTAGAGCCTTAAATCATCCAGAAATCCTGGACCAGATATCAGACCTGTCACTAGGTGATCATGCTGTCCTGTGTGGCCTTTCTTCTGGGTGAGAGCAGGAGGGCTAGAAACCCTCTGATGAAAGTAAAAGCTGAAAAAGTGCAATTCTGTGGCAAAAAATTAATTCTGCCTCTGCAGTGGTAGTAATCTCAGTAAGATTTGCCTAGCAGATGCCAGCAGTGAATTAGCACAGAGCTTGTGGAAAAATAAAAGGAGCTGAATATGTAACTGTTGCAAATGCTTCACTGCTTAAAGCATGATTGCTTGAAATAGATTAATTTTTTTCATTAACGTTAATTTTTACTGTGAACATCCTAATTTTATTCTCTGAATCCCTGAGAATACTGTGTTAGACTATCTCCTTATACAAGTCAGAAAACATTCAGGTTTAGATTTGGTCCACAGTTCATAATAATGGCCTTCCACATAAACAATAGGATTAAGTTATTTATTTCAAAGATGTTTTAGGTTTAGCCTCTTTGCATCTCATATATTTTTTTACCTGACCTCTTCTCTTCCTGTTTACTGTCCTCTTCAGAGTAAGAGCATAAGTCTTCTTGTTTACTGTCCCTCTCAGTTTGAATTACAAATTTGACCTGACATTAAACTGTTCCTTTTTGTACTGGGGGGGGGGAATCTAAGTCATATGGTATTATCCTTCACTTTCATTGAACCATCTGGACTCCTGGAGCCAGAGCTGAAAACTGTCAGCATCTCTTGATGCAAAGCAAATAGACTTAGCTAAAAGGGAAGTTCAAGCTGCAGAATCATCCTGTAGAAAGTTTAGAGCAGTTCAACGCTGGAGGAAGGAAGTCATTATCTGTCAGAAGAGCCCCATCCTGCCCAAAAGCTGGACTAGATATCTAGTGCTGTTCCTTTAAAGATTAGGCTCATATTTAAGATTTCAGTGAAACCAGATTTTGGTTTGACTGAGGTTTACTTTTGGTTTGCTGTTTGGAAAACTTATGTTCCAAACAAGAGGAGGAGGTCTAGTCTCTCATATCAGGACTTCCATAATTTAAGGAAACTACAAAGAGGACTTGTTACTGCATGGCTCACCCCCTCAATAATAAAATTGATACACATATGATTTTATGATACACATAATACAAGTCAATTCCAGGTCCTTCTGAACTGTACAGAATATAATGTTTTATCCACATTAGTATGTTGATGACTGTGGTTAAGTACCTTTTCAAAAATATTTCCTTGAATTAAGGTGTTAAATAACACAAAGTAACACAGTCATGTCGCAATGCATTTGAAATGCCTTATGATTTGGGCTTGCATGTAGGATCATAAACACTTAAAAAATGGAATCACTAGTAATATTTCTTCTTTACGCTTAAAAGATTCCTATTTGAAACTGTAAAGCCTCACTGAAAAGTAAACTCATGTCACATGGAATTGAATGTTCATTACAAATAATCATTATATGAGTCTAGGTTATTGCTTGTCATTTTGTGTTCTTGGCAATTAGTATCTCTCATTTGAAATATCTATTTTTCCTTTTGGCTGAGTTTCCCTGCAAAACTGGAACAGTCGTCTTAAAAAAATTATGATCTCCCAGGCAAAATAAATTAAGTCTTGGAATTATGTCAAGACTTTTAACTGAAGATGAAGTTTCAAAACAATCTTTGTGCAGAAATGAAACTCACCTTCTCCCTTTATCTCCTCTTTCTGCCGACTGCTTCTCTGGGTGTTTCTGTCTGTAAATCAAACATATGCTCTTTTTCTTGCTTTCTGGAAGACTTCCAAAGGTTGGGGGGAAGTCTTACAGGAAACCTTTCCAAAACATATTTAGGACTTGTTCTTCCTGTGCAGATAAAACCCTCAGATGTGTTTTAATACAGACTAACTGAACCTGGAAAACTGTAATATTTGGTTTGGGGCATATTTTTTTTTAATGAAAAGGTGGAAATTTGATGGCTATTTTTCCTATTAGAATTTGCATCAAAGGTTTTACTTCATTGTTACTTCCTTGTTTCTTTCAGTGAGTTCCAGATGTGCTAATAATTTGAGATTTATCTTAGCATAAATGTTTATTTGATCAAATGAGCATGTATTGCATTCTGAGACTTCCTTATCAGATTATCAGATGGAAGCGAACGCAGTCTCTGCCTTTCATGAAGTTTTCTGTGTGGGTTTGATTTGAAAACATCTGTCTTTGAGTTACAAAAATAATCCAGAAGAAAAGACCTATACATACGAGAAAGATATGGCTTTAATTCTTTCCCAGATATAGGCTCAGATTTTCCAAGTGTCCTGGAGTCTAATTGCATATTTTATTAATCTAATTTTGTCTTGTGTGACTATTGATATACCACATAAATGGAATCCATTTTTAGAATACTGCCAATTCACAGAATTAGAATTTTGTACCAGTGCAATGCCACAAGTTAATTGTGCAGTGTCTAAAGTGATTGGCTCTAATTAACTTTAAATTTCTTTCTGTTTTTCTTCCTCCTAGCACCATGCATCAGACTTCTGGCCTCTTATTGCTAACATTCTTAAATTATATATTCTTTCAGTGATCCCTTGGAAAACTCAACCCTCCCCGTTTAACAGGTATTTCTTTTGGGGCAGCAAGGAGATGAACAAAAGCAGTCAAGGCAACAATATATCATCAGTATAAATACTGACATTTACAATATTCCCATTGTTATTTGAAATATGTTATTAAGAGTGTTGAGTTACTATCTAACTTAATGTGGTGTTTGCTAGTTACATGGTTTGCATATATTATTATTATTAAACCTTCCCTTGTTTATAAACTACATTGAAATACTGTTTAACAAGGAGAGAAGCAGAGGCAGATGATTACCAGTGTTAGGACCTAACTAAAGAAGCATGCTGACTTTAAGTTTACATCACATCTTTTGCACTACTCTGTCACGTATTAGGAAATGCTCTGATTTTAATGAGACAAAAGTAGAAATTAATACAATCAAATCAAATAGTAGTTGTTAGTCCAGAGGGATATACAGATGCTTCCAGGGATGCTGATGGTGTGGCTAGCATCATGCGTGCATTCAAAATAGTGTTAACATAGCCAAAAATGGAGTCGGAGGAGAATGATGAGTAATTCAACATCTGTGTGTCTGCTTCTTTTCTTGTCCCCACAGCCTTATTACTCCCTGACTTCCACAGAAGTTAAATATTAGTGTTTCCACTCTTTCAGTTACAATGCTGAAAAAAACAATGCTTACATGAGTGAAATTAAAGTCAGTACTCCTAAGGAGGGTAAATATTAACTTTTCCCAGCTTTCCCAGGAGTTATTAAATCTTCTTATACTATAAGCCTAAATAAATTACCGTGTAAAAATTTATTTTTGTCAGGTGTGTAACCCATGGAGTACGAAGGTTTCTTTCACAAATGTAGCTGGGGGTTGGCCTGGATTCAGAAGGTCCAGTGGCGCTCAAGAGGTAGGAAGCTCATTTTTTATTTTCATTGCCACTATATGACATGCTCCATCTAAGAATATGTATCATGATACCAAAATGGACATGTATAAAACACAAAACCCCCAGATTATTCAGGATTTAACTGAGGTTTTAATCAATCAAGGCAAGAAATTAGATTTATAGGTCTAGAAAATGAGATTTAATGAGTAAGTAGACATTTCAATCAATGCCAAAGTATTCATCCTTGTATATACAGAGAGAGAAAATTCATATACATGTCTCTATAACAGAAAACAAAATATTTCTGAACTATTTTATAAATAGCTAAAATCCAAGAAGATAAAAATCTGTACTTTATTGTGTGATATGCAACATATTCAGTTGCATATATAAATGAGGAAAGAGAATTTTGCCTCTTGTTCTATTTTACATTTCCTAAGAGAAAGTAAATTATTAACTCCATATGGGTATATTTGTGTTCTAGATTCCTGAACTGAGTTCCTGGTCTGAAGATTTCAAGATGTAAATCATGCTTACAACAGTGAAAAGAATTATACAAAGTAAGTCAGGTCCACCAAAATACGCTTGGATTATGTAGACCAGAACTACCAGAAGGAAAACACTGGCCCCTATTACTACGTAATCAAAAATCTTCAGAGCAGTGTGTTTATTCTACTGAATAAATACTATTATTAGTGCTTATAGAATCAAAATAGGGTGGTAATCTCTTCCTACACCAGGTTTTCTTCTTCATCTCTGTTACTAGGATTCAAATGTTGAACACCGTTGCTGCTTTAGATGCAACACTAACCTTTTTTTCCAAAAATTACTCTCTTCAAAATTTTTTATATTTAAGAAAAGCCAAAAATAATTAGCATAAAACAATTATTTATCTCTTTGATGTAAAAGGTGTTTGGCTGTATTGTTGAAAATGAATCCCTTGGGATGCGGTAATCTTCATAACTTCTCCATTTAGAGTATCATCTTCAATTATTGTTATCAGTCCCTCAGCAATTATTGATGGGCTGAAAAAAAAAAAGTTATTTCAGAATCATGATGTAATAGAACATATAAAAAGGACAAGTAAAGAAACTCAATGTAAATCTATATACCCTAAAAATTAAACAATCTGGTATTTAAACAAATTCATTTTCAAGAAAAGCAGGGGTGCTATGAGTGTTTCAGGAGAGAAATTTAGTCTCCTCAATCAGGACATACAACGTAAAGCAGCAACTTTACAAATCATCATTTGTTTGCTCTAGTTACTGCTAAATCCCTGTGGACATCCAGCGGCTACTGAGCTTCCTATCAAAGTTTTCTCTGTCAGGGCAATGGACAGAAGTAATCCTTACGCAATCCTCCGCAGCTCTTTGCTGTTGATTTATCCTGTTTCTGTAGCAGGACTGACATACAAATTAGCATAAGGAGAATTTTGTCACGTGCCATTTGCTGTGGTCAATAGGTGCAATATATTTTACATATGAAAAAGTGTGGGTGAAACAACACAGTCATACAATTTCCTTTATGCAGAAGTATCTGAGGAGCTAATTGTTAGAGACCAACAAAGTGTTAAAAAAATATCACTTTATGCTTGTCTTGTTCTAACA